GGTACTAGATACCTATTTAGGCACCTAAATCTTCTCTTTTACTGTATGAAGACCACACAGGTCAGTGTCTCCATGTGAACTAGAGCTGTCCATGTGTGTATGGCCAATTGCATTTCAGATGTCCTAGCTTCCAGCTGCTGATCCACATGGTCATGGGTCCTTTGTCATTTCTGCCAGTTCCATGTCAATGTATTGACTGTTTTTTTCCACACTAGGCACCTCTGTTTAGATAACTGAATTAAACCTCTAATCACTACAGCCAATGTATCCCAAATAATGGTTCAGGTCACACTACAGGTCACCCTACACTCCTACATTTGATCTATATTGACTTTTGACTGACTCTTCAACAACTATGTGGGGAATGTAGCAACACAGAGGGACCTACATCTAGGTCTGTCTAAATTTAGCTGTCTAAATTTGCAAGCTAAATGGCACTGACAAAATTAGATGAGTTAAATCCTACATTTACACACTTTGGTGCTCTATTAGCATTTCCAAACTTTGAAATGGTAAATACCATTTACCTTTTGCTGGTAAATATAGCAAAAAATAGTGGTGGCTTGCATTCTCCATTCAGCATCTGAGTAGCTGCAGGTGCTCCAGCATTTGCTTCAGGAAGATGGATTATCTCAGACAACAATTAAAACAAGTCAGTGGAGCAAGATCATTGTCTGGCCTTAGAAAGGGATCAAAGAAAGGATGACCATTAACCTGGACAGATAACCCAGTGCCCTAGCACAGGAGGACATGGAAAGCCTACTCTGTCTACAGTGATTTGCTATTTAAGTCTCATACCACTCTGAAATATTGACCAAAATAAGCTGTTCTCATTAAAATATGTTCAGTCAGTGGAACAAAAGCTATTGAAATATCTCCTACACCAGAAAGAAAATTAAATTATTAAATGCTTTCAATCAGACAAAGCAAGCAGAATGAATAGGTAGTTTAGGAGCAGTGCTGAATAGCCCCTTGTTAACGTGTCAGGATGAAACAGCCCCTGGTGAGGGTGGAGGTTTACAAAGGGGGCTGCAGGGAAGGAGGCCCAAAGGTGATGTCGGTTCTTCTCCATCTCTTGTTCTTCCTGTTAACCTTTCTCCCTGTCAGCACCGTGAGGCCAGAAATAGCACCCGCATCATGCAAAGAGGGCGCAAAATAGGGTATGGGAGAAGAGACTGAAACTCCCTTTTGTGGCTCTTGGGTCCAGGGTGTCTTTGGAGATAACTGGTGGTTGTGCATCGCAGGGTGGCTGGGATGTCCCTGATGTGTCTGGAGCTACGGCAAGGTGTGTGCCCACCGGCTGTGGCTCCAGAGAGGAGCTACACACTTCTCCTGACATGACTTATCATACAGAAAGTATCTTCTGTATGTACACTTACATGAATGAAGGGGAAAAGCTGAAATAATTTTTGGGGTGTTTTAGATATCAAGCATTTAAAATTTTTGTTTTAAATAATACTTTGACACCTAATTAAAAACAAAAACCCACCAGCTGGCTTTGGTATGGAATAAAATCACTTCCTTTATTTTCAGCCTAAGAATTATTTGTAGGGTAGTGCTTTTTTTTCAGCAAGGAAAAAAAAAAAACTAACAACCCATTTTTAAGTCAACTTTCAATGGTATCCCACTCTTCATTGCACTTCCTTTGCCCCACACCCCCTCACTCCAGTTCTATAAACTTTGTTTTGTACTTGAAAAAAAACACCACTCCCACTCCCCCCTCCCCCAAATGCAACAGAACATAAAAGAAAAAAAAAAATTGTGCAGATTTAGGTGAGACTAAACCTTTCTTTTCTGGGGTAATCACAGAGTCAGTGTCAGGCTCCCTTCTCAGAAGCAAATCTGAGCATACAGAAGACACAGGAGTGAAGAGGCAGATGCAGACTGCAGCATGAACGGAGCCAGTCTCTAGCAATGGGTGGCTGATGTGAGCGATGGTACCTGGGGAATGTGACCCAGCCTGTGTCTCTATGTCCATGTGTTGGGTGTCACTGCCTTCGGAAAATCACCAAACCAGCACAGAGATAACCAGAGGAATAAAAAATATCAGAAGTTAGGGAACAAAGATCAAACAGGGCATCCATACCAGACTGAATCTCAGTTTCAACTCCAAGATCACTGGTGATGTTAAAGCAAAACTGAGATTCTTGTGATCATGGAACCCGGTATGGAGGCAAATGGATGCTTGGAAATCCCTTCAACAACCGAAAAGATAACCAAGGAACACTGGAATGGAAAGCAGGAACCACAATGAAATGAATACACTAAAGATTTACATTTTGCCTGTGCCATTGTGTTTTGGAGTTATGATCTTTACCGGGTATTTAAGGGTAGAAGGAAAGATACTATTGCACCAAGCTGAGTTTCTAAAGGCCCATATCCAACTCTTGCCTCTACTCTAGAGGCTGTGATGTGGTTCAGCATCTTGTCTGGAAAAAGGATATACTGATTTCAGTTCTTTTCTTCCACGCTTTCTTTATATTGCATACTCATCCTAGGCAGAAATTATTTTTATATAACATCCAAGATGCCCATTCAGTTGGGACTTTAATTTACATGAATTATGAATCATACTACACATAGGTATCATTGTACTTATGGCCCGTGGTTTTCACTCCTTTCTCCTGTTCGATTGCTTTTTCAAAGCTATCACCTACACAAGCCTGCAAATCCCAAACCTGACTTCAGCCATCATCCTCCCACAGTGATGTCAGTTTGCTGCTATGGAGACAGTGACATCATGAGGTTGTCTGGCAGATGAAAAATTTCAGGTGATAAAAAAGCAATGGGGATCAGACACACTTCTTCAAAACACAGATCCTGTTTGATTTTCCGTGCTTGTTCTGAACTGAACAGAAATTGTGCATTGTAGAAGAAATATCCCATTTTGGATAGAGAGGGAATATTTGGGTTTGTGTGTTTTCTGCATGTCTGCCAACTCAGCCATAGGGCAAGATAATTTTTTCTTAAACCAACAGTCCAGGGAGAGCAAGAGACAGCTTCAGCAGGTGATTGACTCAATACGTGGAGAGCAATGCTCGCTGGAAATACCATCTCTCCTTGGCTGTAGAAGAATCTTAGGAGCTTGTTTCAGCTGTCAGAGTGTGGATAGCAGCAGCCAGTTGGGTTCCTTCAGGTGTCTTTGGCAGGCACAAATCACTGACAGACCTGATACAGGGCCAGTGGGAGACCTTCAGGACCTGGTGACCAGCCAGGCTATCCGAGGACATCTCAAATGGCCCTATAAATGAGCAACTGAGTCAGGCCCCTGATGACTCATCTAAGATTCCACAAAAGGACTGTGGCAGTAAGCCCTGATCTCTTCTCTGTTATGATGATGTTTAGAGATATCTCTAAACAACATCTCTGCTCATAGCTCTGTAATTCCTGCGAACCTTGGAGGATTACCTCTGAACATTCCTCTTTGGCAGAGTCCGTATCCTCACCTGCAGGAAGGCGGTTCAGAAAACCACCTGAGAGAGGTCTCAAAGATCATAATCCATGCCTCACCCAAGGGCAGAATCAAATATAGAAATTTTACCCCCACAAATATTTATGTAACTTGTATTTAAATCTCTAATAACAAAGGCTCCATGCCTTCTCCAAAGTGACATATCCTTCCACCATATTACTGTTGTCACTAGAAAGTTTTCCCAAAGACAAGATTCATGTTGCCTCTCTGTAAACTTGTGCTGTTTAAACATCTACAGATGAACTTGTCCACCCTGGGCTCCCTTTGCAGTCAATCGAGATAAACAGGCATTTTTAAACTAAGGTTCACTGGTCCCATTTTAAATGTCCGTGTCAGGATAACATACTCTGCTTCTGTGACTGTAGCACAAAGAAATTTTATTATTTCCCTGGAAGAAGTATTCTTCTGCTTTTCCCACTCAGTGTACATGGCCTATCCACTTCCTCTTTGTAGAAATATGTTTAAGATAATTCTTTGATTTGCCCTCCAACTTTTTACTTCCAGAATGAAGAATTATTTCTTTCAATCTTTGATCACCTCATTTTTTCTAAATCTCTGATCATTTTTACCATCCCCCATTCCCAATTGATCTCAAAACCATGTTAGAAACAAACATCATGATAGAAATTAGCCAAAAGAAGTGGGTTAGAGAAGTAGAAGAAAGACATATAATCTAGTAACAAGGCCACAGAATCATGAATTTTATAGATTTGGCCTAAATCTTGCCTGTTGGCTCTTCCGTATGGGCCACCTTCAGATGAGAAAGATTTTGCTTTTCTCAGAAACACATTTAACCCTTGACTTTTCCACAGAGGCTGCCAAAGAGGTGACTAGTAGCTCCGAAAGAGCAGTAGTGGTTTGGACATGACAGGCATCCATCCAGGAGGGACCACCACCTTGCCTTTATGGAAGCCATCAATCCCAGACACCTCCAGGAAACGACTTGATGCTGTTGGCCTTTGCCACCTTGGAACCACTGACCCATAAGAGTGGATGGGACTTAACACCCATGTGCTAAACATTGCATTTGTATTGTTTTTGCCTGATCCTCCCCATTGGGATTCCTAATTTAATTACTTGTGCCGTGTGTAGCACCGAGGCAGTAATTAGAGAAGATCTTGCGTTCGGCTGTGCTTCTGCTGAGCCTGAGCAAATAGGATTAGAATTCTTCCTCCCAAATTGGCAGTGCAAATTAAATATTTATTCTTTCATGTGGGGAAAATGTCAGCTGTTTCAAATTACCTGCGAAAGATCTCGAATGATTGGGAATCATGAAAGATAAAAGTCCGACTTCTGACTGAAAATGTTCTGTAGGTTTGGGGTTTTTTTCCACCCTTTTTCTCTTTTTGGATTGAGATCAACCCATTAACTGAATAAATTTATGCTTTTTTTTATTTTCCCCTTCTTCTTCCTTTTTTTCATTTGTTAAAGTCAGTAAGGTGCTCTACTCAGAACTGATCATTTTACTTTTATAGCCTGTAAAATTCCAGGCTTAAAAGGATACTGTCAAATCAAATTTGACTCCAAATTAAGTTTTGGGCTGGGAGTCAAGAGACATGAATTCTAATCCCAGTGACCCGCTGTGTGACCTGCTTCACCTCTTTGTACGTTGGCGTGCCTTTAGGTAAAATAGAGATACAACTTTCTGCAATGACTGGTATCTCCTGTGATGGTCTCACACTTCCAGGCACCGCAAGAGTTTTACCCCCTTAAAGAAGAATGACACGGAAAGAAAGGTTATTTAGCAGTCAAAGAAACAGGCTGCGGAGCCACTTTTAGCATTACGGGGCCAAACTTGTCCCTGTTGCAACTTTGCTGACGCCAAATAATGCTGAACATAGTCCAATGTGTACACTCCGCTTCCTGAGAGACGTCAGTGGTGAAACGCAGCCAGATAGAAAATGCAACCCAAAGAAAATCAATCTCTGCGCTCTACCTGCCCAGACAAGTTCACTCACATCCTTATCAGTGCTAGTCCCAGCTCTGACCTCATACAAGTTTGGAAGTCACTGGTGAGGCTGTGGGAAAGACACCAGCTTTCTGAACCCTGCAAAATTTGACCTCTTTTTCTGTACCATCCTGCATCTTATCTTGCTCTCAAAGGTTATTCCAGAAGGGATGCATGGAGAATATCTTATTGCATGAGGGTGGTGAAGCAGCAGGTATCTCCTAGAGCAACTCCTTTGTGTTCGGGGCTCTGCCAAAGCAAACACTTCTCCCCTTCTCCTCCCACAAATGCAGCCTTTCTCCTGCTCTGTAAATCCCCCCTACATGCAGTAAGACCAATTGTCAAAATAAAGGAACATCTGTGAGTGGTGTGTGGAGCACGGAGCAGAAGAGAGGCCACAACCCTACCTGAGGTTGGTCTCCGGCTGCAGGGACTGTGGGAATCAATAGAACATCTGATCTAAGCTTGACCACTGCCAGGCTGTGTCCCTCTAGGCTGAAATGGCCACATATGAATGAATTCCTGCTCGCTCAAGCAATAGAAATACCCACCTTGTATCTACCTGTAGATTGAGGAAATTTTGCACAAACCAGTGTTCACCTCACACTTGAATTTGGCTTTCCAAGACACCCTCACCTGGCCAGGGATGGCGGATGGTATCCCTGGTGGAGGGATGCTAAAAGGAACAAGGCAGAAAAGGGTCTCTCCCCCTCTCAAGTCAGGGCCACTCGGGTGATGGACCTTGCAGGATGCCCGATACATGCGTGCACCAGCCCCAGTGACAGATGGTGACTGACTTACTCTTCCTACTCAAACAGACCGTTGCTTTGCCCATCTGCAGAGAGGGGAAGACTTCACATCCCCCATTGCTGAAGCCATCACCTCTGCTCTGTTTCAGATGGAAAAAAACAGGCCATTTATTTTGGGGTAGAAGAGATGAATATGACTATTGGGATCGGGGGAGGCAACTTTCTGACAGACAACTTGTTTCCGTGCATTCCTTCATGCTCCTTTTCAATGCAGCCCATGATGATGTTTAACCCCCTGCAATGTCTTACCCACTCAAAACAGCTGTGGACTGCCCACCCAAAGGGGAAATCCACACAGGTTTTTGCATCTAATCGGTGGTCCTGCTGAGCTGTGCTGCACCCCAATGCTCTGAAAACCCTGACAGATATGGCTTGGGGCCAAGCAACGGCTTGAATGGTGGTGATTTTACAAGCCCTTCCTTGTGTAGCTATTTTCATGCCCCCTTCCTCACTCTGGGAAACACTAGGGGACAGCCATAAATTTGTGATACATCATCGCTCGCGCTCTAGGCTGAATGCAATATTCCCTCAGCGAGGCTTCATTAGGAGGAAATTCTTGCCTTAAACACCTTGCAGCCTGCATTTTTGACAAGTCATCACATTTTTGTGTGCCCTGCTTTATTTTAAAGCCCCTCTAGTAATGACATTCCTGAACAGGGGCTGCTTTGCAGCTTGCAAAGGGGGAGCCTTTGTCATCTGGGAGCAGAGGAGAAGGAAAAATGTGATATAGAATATGTATTACAATGCAGGGGAACAACCTGTTGTGTAATTTTGTCTTCTTGGACACCCATACTGCTGTCCCTTTTTGACAGGCAGGTCAGGACAGAAAGAAACTCGATGTCTTAAATCAGTAAGGAAATTATCACACATGAGCAGGGCATGCTGAAACTTGTATAATAGCATGGAGTATTGCTTTATCTATACAAGACCCTGTGGGGAAGCTGTCTTCAAACTTCAGAGCCCACCCTGAACTGGCATCTTTTTCATTGCAATGTTCCCCCTGCCCAAGCAGCTTTGCTCATAGGTACCAGAAGTGAATCTGTCCAGTCTTGCACTCTTCAGGATCTCCTGGGAGAGCTTTCCATGACTGCTGTGCTATTATTTTTTTTGTCTATTTGCAAGTGTCTAGCTCTCAGCCTTTGGCCCACAGAAAAGTTGTGGCACAGAGTGATTAATAGCTTTAACCATGGACAGAAAACTGACTCCAGGGGTTCTCCCCAGAATTAAAACAGCACAAATCAGGACAGAATGAGGGATCTTTTACAAGAAATACTTTTCTTTGAGAAATTAAGTAGACAGGACAATGCTTTCCAGCTTGGACGACTAAGGAGAACTACCCAAATCCATGTGTAGACATCAGAACAGAATGATCTGTCTTTGTGGAGACCCTGGGGATCTTCACTGACTATCATCAGATTGATAAGTAATAGATAAGTGATTCTGATTTTGGTTTTACCTCTGTTAAACTCTCACAAAAATAAAAATGAAACAAATACAAGGCCTGCTAACCCCCAAATATCCACCATCCCCTACCAGTACTTTTACCCAATACACTACAAGAAGGACAGCGAGGTGCTGGAGCGTGTCCAGAGAAGGGCAACGAGGCTGGTGAGGGGTCTGGAGCACAAGTCTGATGAGGAGCGGCTGAGGGAACTGGGGTTGTTCAGCCTGGAGAAAAGGAGGCTGAGGGGAGACCTCATCGCTCTCTACAACCACCTGAAAGGAGGTTGTAGCGAGGTGGGGGTCGGTCTCTTCTCCCAAGTAACAAGCGATAGGACAAGAGGAAACGGCCTCAAGTTGCGCCAGGGGAGGTTTAGATTGGACATGAGGAAAAATGTCTTTACTGAAAGAGTGGTTAAACATTGGAAGAGGCTGCCCAGGGAAGTGGTTGAGTCCCCATTCCTGGAAGTATTTGAAAGACATGTAGATGAGGCGCTGAGGGACATGGTTTAGTGGGCATGGTGGTGTTGGGTTGATGGTTGGACTCGATGATCTTAGAGGTCTTTTCCAACCTTAATGATTTTATGAATCTATGATTCTATGATCAGCAAGACTCCAGAGAGAAGAACTGAAGTTCCTACCATCTCTGAAAGCAAAGAAATTTGTTGCATCCTGAAGGTTTAAATGAGGTGTGGCGCCAGTTGTAATGATTTTAGATGACGATTTCCATTCAATGCATTTAACCAATCTATCTCTTACAGTGATAACTTAATGAATTATGTGAGTGTAAAGTCAAGCAGATTTGCTTAAACTAGTTTCATTAGTAACTTAAACTAATCCTATTGATGCTGGACTGAAGAAAACCAAGATGTGCTGACAAACCTTGATGTAGCTGTGCTATGAGTTAGCAGCCTAGAGCTGGAGAGCTGTGACGAACATCTGCAGACTGTCACCTCTTCAGTTGTAACTGCTAACTTCAGATATCATCTGTCTAACACCCTCAAGCTGCATGTCCCCCTCTTCCTGCTGAATTCCCTCTGTAAAATCGTTTAATAACAGGACAATTGTATGGTACGTTGTGAAGTCTGTCATGTCAGTGCTTAGGTGAACCAAGTTTAGGTGAATCTTCACCTCCAGTCTATCCTCTGTCCTATCTGAGCGAGAGAGGGCCATGCACCGAGGTAACCAGGATGTACTCAGCACACAGAACATCATAAGTTGAGAAAAAAATATTTTTCATCATCATAGATTACCCCTAAGGAGCTCACTACTACACAGAGCAGATTCACTGAGATCTGAGTTCACAAAGTCCGTGAGATTCACGCTGTGTAAGAGGTTTCCTGACATTCAGGTTGAAATCAGAAAATGGTCTGATGGTCAGATAAAACTGAACCCAACTTGGGCCTGAGGAAATGGCAGGGAATGCACAGAAATTAAAAGAACTAAGGATGAAGCCCATAAGACTTAAATAAGACTATATGTGGCCTCAGTAACCTACTATCTACTATCTACTTTTTGCAAGCTTTCTGTTTTATAAACACTGCATGTTCCAGCCACAAACCAAAAAAATTACCTCTGTTGCAATCAGTGCCAAGGATGGACATTGCAGGAAAGCCTCAGTGGGTCACTTCTCTTTCGTTTGTACCACCAGTGAAGATCCTGCAACTGGGACCTTGCTAATGATGTGCAAGAAGGAATTCATTGTGTTCCCATAGAATAGAAAAGAGTGAAGTTAGTGTGCTCTCCGGGTTGATCATGTAATCACAGGCCCCAGGGCTGGGATGTCAACTGAACAGAGAACCAAGACTGAAACCCTTCAGATTTAGTGACTTCTTGTCGCCAAAAACGGTTTCAGTTCCCCACCTTCTCAGATCAGGATGACAGAGTGTAACCATGCATACCTACAGCAGTGAGTTTCACCACGAGGAGGTGGAGCTCAAACACACAATCAAGATAATGTGGCTTAAAACTGTCATCTGTTACATGGTTGTGTGAGCGTGCTCTTTGCCCACCCCAAATGCAAGGTCAAAGCTCACCTCTTTCCCATTAAGGGTTAGCTAAGCCAGAGCACATCGTACATCTGAAGACTATGCACGTGGACAGGTACTATAGCTGAGCCATTGGCTGTGAACTCATTAGGCCACTGGACTTAATCACGGGTTCTCTCCCTGACCAAAGCAAATAAATATCTTTCTATTCTTCATGAATTTATATCTGCCCATATATTATTACTGCTATTATTAACATTGTTGTTACTATAAGCAACCTAATATCTAAATTGTAAATTCCACCTTTCCCTTGTGGTTTATCATTCATTTGACCGTGAAACCTGGGCTGAAAATTTGCAGTTTTTTCAAGGCAGATTTCACTCAGAAGAGACCTTGCCGCAGGAATGGCCCTTTGTGAGATGCAAGAGGACAATTCAGCCTGATTTTGCAACTGGAGAAAGTTCAGCTAAAATTCAGTTAAATACATTGCACAAAAAGATTTTGCTTTGATATGTGGTCACTGAAATGAGAGAGTCTGGAAGAAAGACCTACTGATTCAGAGCATAGGTAGTGCACTGCTGCTCCCTATGCAATCTCTGCAGTATCCTTTTTTTCTGGGCCTGAGCAAGGGCATAAATCACCAAAAACGTAAAGACTCGAGGGTTGAAGTCCCACATTGCACATGGGCTAAAAGGGAGGGAGGATTCATGGATCTAACCTCACATCCTCAGACTTGGGACCCCCTGCGGAGCTGTGAGGCTCAGACTCTAAGGAGTATTTAGACATCAAGGTCTTCCGGAGGCCAGAAAGATTCAGGAACTTAAGTTGCTTAAAAAATTTGGGCCTTGGTTTCCCTGTGACAATGCTTTCCAAAGGCTAATGGTCTCAAGAAGACTGTTTAATAATTATGAATAAAAATGATTGGCAATGATTAGGAAAAAAATCAGTTAAGTCAGGAACAAGAATTTCTCTTTTTGTTGTCGTTTAAAAGCACACGTGCTAAGAAGGGGGAAAGAAATCCACCTGAAAATGCCAGCTTCAAACTAAATGGGATTACAGAAAAGCTTTCCCCAAGGGAGCGATTGCAATGGTCAGACTCTCTGCTGACATATGTGGAAGTGGTCTCTGCAAGGAGGCTGGACAGGAGCAGAAGGCGGCAAAGGCACAGGGTAGATTAGGTGGCTTGTCTAAAGCTTGCAGGGAGGGAAAGTAGACCCAAAGGCTACACTTTTTGACTCCTCAAGCTGTGTCCGAGTTGATAACCCACTTCCCTTTCAATCTTGCTTCGCTTTTCCCTGAAGACCTGTTTGGGGGTAAATATCGAAAGGCTGCTTGAAATAGCTTATCTTCCCTTTGAAGACATGTTGATGTTTGCTTTTTCTTCCACTCCATGGATTTCTTCATTTTCTGTCCCTTCTCTTTGCCTTCAGTCAAGAGGATGGAATAAATTAGCAAGCAGCATGTGAACCTCTGCTCTTGTTAGTTACACCTAAATACTACTAAGCCTATTAAATTTATTCCTGGAACTGTCCTGTGCTACCGCCCCCAATAACTTTTCTGTTCAGTAGATTTCATTTCCTTTGTTCTTACTTAATTTACTTGCAGCCAGAGGCTCCAGCAACCGACCCATTAGCTTGCTGCTAATTAGCTGGCACTAACAGCCTCTCGTTATTCGGGAGGCTTGGAGAATGTTTGCTCGGAGTCACATGGTGGGACAGGCTTTTAATAACAGCCATCCTGTCTAATTCTGCCTTTCCCCTGGCTCCTCATATGGGTATCCAAGCTGAGTCCACCGGCACTGCTGGGCGGTATTTTTATAACAGATGGAAAAGGAGAGGAAGCTATTCTGTGACACTCTCTTCTCTGGAGATTGTTCCTCCTCCGGTGTGTCCGCGAAGGGTCAGGGACGATGCAAGATGTGACTGTAGCACCTGTCACTGCAGAAGGAAAGGAGAAGCAATTGCCTCCCTCCCGCCTGTCCCTGCTGCGGCAGGAGGTCCGTGACTCCCCCCACGCTGAGCATAAAAATCATCCTGTTATCTGCCACCATATGCTCCTCACCGAGGTCCTTGATTTGGGTATTCACATCGTGGTGCTACTCTCTTCTGTTTTGGGATGTTAACTGTAATTGCCAGAGGGCTGGCAGATGGGTGTCCCAGTGCCGGGGAGGATAACGCACCTCTGGCTGGCGGGTTTCCCAATCACCTCCTCCCACCGCCGTATGGGCTGGGAAAGGGGGTCCAGGGTGCCACCCCACCCTGTGGTGTGACAGATGTTATCCTATCCCACAATCTGGAGCATGAACCTTGGGTATCAGGCTTCCAGGAACCGCAGAGGTTAAGACACATGCCAGCAGGTTGCAAAGAGCTGCAAACCTCCGAGCATCTGCCCCACTTGCCAGTAGATCAGGTGGTGTTTTTCCTGGCAAGCGGAGAGGTCTGGCGATCCAGGGAACCCAGTAACTCTCCCCACACCCTCCCCCAAACCCCAAAGATGCAACTTTTGGCACTTGCCGGTGACCAGGTGCCTCTCTTCCATCTGAGCAAAACAGGAAATGAGTCAAGCAGGGAAACACATTCACATGAGGAATTGCCCTCTTAGGGCTTAAGAAGAGACTGACTCGGAGGTGTTTATTATTCCTGGGCAAGGAGGATGCATCTGGACACCATCCCCTGAGGTGACATGGCTGCAGGCTGTCAGCAAAGGGTGGGGACAGGTGGAAAAAGCTGGTGTCTTTTGACACCTTGTTTACTCAAACCCTTCTGGCTCATGATGATTCCTCTGAATCCATTTCTCAATCATCTGGAATGAACATCCAGTGCCTGGGGTGCTCTGCACTTCTCAGAGACCTGAAAGAGGGTGCCAGAGGTGCAGCTTTTCAAGCACTGACATCTTCCTCTGTGGGGTGCCAAGATCCTTCTGGGAGACACCAGTCTCTCTCCAAGGAGGAACAACGCAGCATTTTTTAAGGTCAGCTCTTCAGTGTGTCACACAGAGGGAGGCAGCAGCTCTGGGCTCTGGCTGGCACCACACAAGCATGCCCCTTGCATCATGGCTTGGCTCTCCTGCACGTCTTTCACAACTGTCCCTATGCTGCTAGCCTCTGGCAAGGCAAGCTGCGTGCAGAGGGAGGAAGGACATCTACTCCAACATCACCTTGGGTCTGCCATGAAACTCAGTTCACAATCAATCAACCTCGTAAATCCTACACCCTTGG